CCCCCCCCCCCCCCACACACACAAAAGGCGGGAGAGAGAAAGGGAAAAAGAGAGAGCGAGGAAGAAGAAGGAGCAAGGGTCGCCGGAAAATGCAGAACAGAAAGAGTCACCGGAAATCAAGGGTCGCCGGACTTGATGCAATTCTCCTGCACACGCACGTCCCGACTCCGGCGGCGAGAAGGGCCNGGGGAGGGGATTAGAACGTTAGGCAAGAACGTTAGAAGGGGGGAGAGAAAAGTCAGGAGAGAGAAGGTCGATCAAACATGGTAAAATGGATATTGCCCTTGTACCAAGTTAATATGTAAAAATTCAGCCATAAAATGAGACCTTGTCAAAAAAAAAAAAAAAAAAAAATCACGCAGTCGAGTCATGTAACTATTCTTTTCTTATTTGTTGAATGTCAATATTTAAGGAAGACCTTTGCACTTGATGCTTTGTCTATGGCAATTGTTGTGATATTAAGTCTTGCCAAATACACCTAGTGCAAATATGATTGAAGCTGCAGACCTTACCCCTATCCTGAGGGGCAGAGAGGCAGTTTCCGAAAGACCTTCAGCTCAAGAAGGACGATAAGAGGCGATATATCAGTACCATCAATAAAAATCATAGAAAAAATTAAAAGCATCATAAGAACCAGGAAATAGATGGAAAGCACAATAATAACCAGTAAATAAAGCCCGGCTCTAAGAGGAGCGAAAGAGTAGTGAGAACTCAATACTAACCACTAGCAGTCTAAGACTAAATCCTAACAGACTAGCCTCACTCTGGTGCGCTGTAGAAATATTCACAACTACCTCCTAACCTACAACCTTAATGCTCGACCTCCACAACTTCCTGTCTAGGGCCATGTCCTCGATAATCTGAAGCCACGCCACCTCTCCCCAATACTTTTTAGGCCGCCCTTTACCTCTCCTCGTACCCACCAGAGCTAGCCACTCACACCTCCTCACCGGGGTATTAGGGCTTCTCCTCTGAATGTGCCCGAACCATCTGAGCCTTGCTTCTCTCAACTTGTCATCCATGGGGGGCCACACCCACGTTCTCCCGAATATCTTCATTCCTATTCTTATCCATTTTAGTGTGTCCGCACATCCATCTCAACGCTCATCTCTGCTACTTTTATCTTCTGGATATGTGAGTTCTTAACTGGCCAACACTCAACTTCATACAACATGACCGGTCTAACCACTGCTCTATGAAACTTACCTTTTAGTATCGATGACACTTTCTTGTCACACAAGACTCCAGACGCTAACTTCCACTTCATCCACCCTACCCCTATACGGTGTGTGACATCCTCGTTGGTCTCCCAATTTCCCTGCATAACCGACCCAAGGTACTTGAAACTGCCCCACTTGGGTATGACCTGACAGTCAAGCCTCACGTCAAATCCCGCTTCCGTCGGCTCGACGCTGAACTTGCACTCTAGGTATTCCATCTTAGTCCTGCTCAACTTGAAACCCTACTCAAGGGCCTGTCTCCAAACCTCCAGCCTCTCATTAATGCCACCTCGCGTCTCATCAATCAGAACTATGTCATCAGCAAATAACATACACCATGGCACCTTCCCTCGAATATGGTGTGTCAGTGCATCCATTACCGGGGCAAATAAGAATGGGCCGAGCGCAGACCCTTGGTGCAACTCGATAACAACCGGAAAATGCTGAGTCTTCTCTCACTGTACTAACCCGAGTCTTAGCTCCATCATACATGTTCTTAATCACCTTGATGTAAGCAACCGGCACACCTTTTGCCTCCAAGCATCACCATAGAACCTCCCTAGGAACCTTGTCATACGCTTTCTCCATATCAATAAACACCATGTGGAGATACTTCTTCCTATCCCTACACTGTTCCACCAACCTCCTAATAAGTTGGAAAGCTTCTGTGGTAGAACGATCCGGCATGAACCCTAACTGGTTGTCTTCCTCACCCTCACTTCAACCACCCTCTCCCAAACTTTCATCATATGACTCAGTAATTTGATACCCCTATAATTATTACAACTCTGGATATCACCTTTGTTCTTGTACAACGGAACCATTGTACTCCACCTCCACTCCTCCGGCATCTTATTCGTCTTGAAAATAACATTAAACAATCCAATCAGCCACTCCAAGCCTGCTCTACCAACACCTCCAAAATTCACCCGTAATTTCATCGGGCCCGGTAGCACTGCCCCTACTCATCTTATAGGCATAGCCTCCATGACCTCCTCAACCTTAATGCGCCCACAATACCTAAAGTCACAGTGACTCTCGGAATGCCCCAATTCACCTAGTACAATATTCTAATCCCCTTCTTCATTCAGAAGTTTATGAAAGTAGGTCTGCCATCTCCGCTTAATCTGGTCCTCTCACATCAAAACTCTGCCGTCCTCGTCTTTGATGCACCTCACTTGGTCCAGATCCCGAGTCTTCCTCTTTCTCGCCTTAGCCAGCCGGAATAACTTCTTCTCCCCGCTCTTGTCCCTAGTTTCTCGTACAGACGAGCAAAAGCCGCAGTCTTAGCCTCTGTGACTGCCAGCTTCGCCTCCTTCCTAGCTACCTTATACCTCTCAATGTTCGCTGTCCTCTCCTCCTCGCCAGTTCTCCCTACTACTGCAGGTACGGCGTCTTCTTCGCTTCCGCTTTACCTTGGACCACTTCATTCCACTATCAGTCGCCTTTGTGGCCACCAAAGTAGCCCGACGAGACCCCTAACACCTCTCTCACCGCCTTCCTAATACAGACCGCCGTCGTCGACCACATAATGCTCGCGTTCCCACTACTCCTCCAAGCTCCCATAGCCGATAACCTCCCTTCCAACTCCTGAGCTTTATCCTTAGTCAAGGCACTCCACCTGATCCTCGGACGTCCTTATACCGGCCTCTTCTTCCTCCTTATCATAATACCAATGTCCATCACCAAAAGCCTATGCTGTGTCGCGAGGGTCTCACCCGGGATAACGTTGATAACCTTGCAATCCTTACCAAGAACACGAATTGGAAAAAAAGAAAGGGAATTGCTTAGAAAATTATATTATTATAGCCTATGAAAACACACTCATCACACACAGACACGCAGATAACAAGGCTCAATACTCGGCCTTGGTAAATCATGGTTTACTGGTAGAATGATATGACTCAAAATATGTGCAAGACCACAAGGATTTTATTTCACTTTATTTTCTGTCAATCTTTTTTTGTTCATGACAAGTTTTTACCATGTTATGACATGTGCTTGGTACAAGAACTTTCTGTTTCTGTAAAAAGTTCTCCCTTTTCATGCTAATAATATTTAGATTACTGCCTATAATAATTTAACCGTATGATGTTGTTTACTCATGCAACTGATAGAGAAGGGGAAGAGCCGGACGTGTTCAGCCTGGAGAATGCTATCATCTCTATCCCAGATGTGTGTATGATGCTTTTGCTGATTATCAATTACCAGAAATTCTGAGGACCCCTTTGCAATCCCTTTGTTTGCAAATTAAAAGTTTAAAACTCGGTAGCATCTCTGAGTTCCTTTCAAGGGCTTTGCAATCCCCCGAGTTATTAGCGGTAATGCTCATTCAGATTTGTTGCTCTTACTTCTGTATTTATGATATTATAACAATTTTATTATTCTTACAGTTTACTGGCATATGCTGTAAGATCAGACCATCTCAAAAATGGTACAAGTTCATTCTTTGCTTGTTGCTGTAAGTGAAGTTCTTCCTTTTGTTTTGCTGATAGGTTCAAAAAGCTATTGAGTATCTGAAAATTATTGGGGCTTTAGATGAGAGTGAAAATTTGACTGTTCTAGGTATGAAATTTGGCTGTTGTTGAATCATAATCATATTCAAGTCTAACGATTTAGTCCTCTGATTTTTCTTTGTCTTTGCTGTGGTTCAATGACAGGACGTTACTTAACAATGCTTCCAATGGAGCCTAAACTCGGAAAAATGCTTATACTTGGTGCAACTTTGAATTGTTTGGAGCCGATATTAACTATCGTTGCTGGTCTTAGTGTCCGAGATCCCTTCTTGACACCGCTTGACAAGAAAGATGTAAGTCAAGCCTTCCACTTTGCTGTCAAATCATCGTTTGATTCATCTTCATTAGTTGGGTCAGACATACTTTCTTTGAGAAACCAGTAATCGTTTTGAGACATGCTACCTCTTGTTTTCAGCTTGCGGATGCTGCTAAGGCTCATTTTTCACGCGATTATAGTGACCATCTTGCTCTTGTTCGAGCATATGAGGGATGGAGGGATGCTGAAAGAGACCTAGCTGGATATGAGTACTGCTGGAAGAATTTTCTGTCTGCACAGTCTATGAAAGCTATTGATTCTCTTCGCAGGGAGTTTTACTCTTTGCTGAAGGATACTGGTCTTGTTGACAGCAATAATACCATCTATAATTCTTGGAGTTACGATGAGCACCTCCTTCGAGGAATTATCTGCTATGGGTTGTATCCTGGAATCTGTTCTGTCCTGGTAAAACCTGGTGTCTTTCTTTATTTGCTTCAACGTAGTATCTTAGGGATCTTATTCCACAGTTAGTCTCTGCCATTTTATTCCCTTTGAAACAATCTGGACACTAGCATTTATCCATAGTTACAGATGTATAANGGGAGAAAGCAGAGTTTCCGTTTGAAGTCATTCCAAAACTTGGTGCTTTGCACATATCTGGTGGCACTATAAAGGTGTTTCTATAGAAAAAAAAAAAACTTGGTAGTGAACATTGAAGTATCCCTGCTTCGGATGGTGGTACTGATATTAATGCTTTTGCAGCATAATGAGAAGTCATTTTCGTTGAAAACAATGGAAGATGGTCAGGTGCTTTTACACTCGGTGAGTATGCTACCTGCGTATTTGGTGTTCTTTAATTCACGTCACATTGATTTAACTCTCTCTTTCTTGTTATATACAAAGAACTCCATTAATGCCCGGGACTCCAGGATACCATATCCCTGGCTGATTTTCAATGAAAAGATCAAAGTAAACTCTGTCTTTCTCCGGGATTCCACAGCTATCTCCGACTCAGTGCTGCTACTATTTGGAGGAACCATCTCAAAAGGGGAAGTGGTGAGCTCCCATCTTGCCCTCCTTTGATCCAAGATCCTGAAGGAGAATTTTGTGTACATATGCAACTCCAAGTCTAAATTAACCTGCTTACTTATATATTCTCTTGTTGATTGGAATGATTTTCTTCATTTCACAGGACGGTCACTTGAAAATGTTAGGTGGATACTTAGAGTTCTTTATGAGCCCTACTATAGCAGAAATGTATAGAAGTCTAAGAAGAGAGCTTGATGAGTTAATTCATACTAAAGTAAGTCATTGTTTACTATCTCCGTTTGTCTTCAATTCTGCTAATGGATTTTTGCACAATAGATGCAATGCTATTGTGATTTGTGCCTTCTCAAGTCTGAAGAAGTGCAGATTTTGTTGCTTTAACATTTTTTGAAATAATTGTTAATTGAAGTTGACAATTGGTATGTACAGCTCCTGAATCCTAGGATGGATGTACATAGTTATCATGAACTTCTGTCAGCAATACGGTTGCTTATCTCAGAGGATCAATGTGGTGGCAGATTTGTTTTTAGTCGTCAGGTTTTACTAACTTCCAAGCCATGTGCTGCAGCAGCACCACCAGCTCCAATGTCAAGGACAGAAAGTGGTCCTGGAGGTGAAAATTCTAAGTCTCAGCTACAGACGTTGCTGAATCGAGCAGGGTATGCAACACCAACGTACAAGACAAGGCAACTTAATAACAATCAGTTTCAAGCAACTGTAGAGTTCAACGGGATGCAGATAATGGGACGGCCTTGCAACAACAAAAAACAAGCTGAAAAAGATGCAGCAGCTGAGGCTCTGCAATGGTTGTTGGAAGGGCACCGTGCAGGTCCTGATTACATTGAGCGGATGTCTCTGATTCTGAAAAAGAGCAAGACAGCATAGATGAGTTGGGATTAAAGCAGACGTCACAAACTGGCACTAGTGTGATGCTTGGGACAGCCTCACGTCCTTGGTTTTGCTCGGGATGAGTTCATAGGAGCATGGTATTTTGGCAGCTTTACAAATATACACGAATATGATATGCAACCCATGAGCAATCATAAAGTATGCCTACTAATGGCAGACTGATTTTCAAGTCTCATGAAAATGCGCGGTGGGCTCAGCAGCATAGACTGCCTCTGAAATCTGAAATAAAACTAGATCCGAGGGGCAGGGGAACAATTTTGGATCTCTTGGCTTCTTTTGACTTTGTCCTAAGTATGCCTTTTCAGCTGCTCAGCCTGGTCATCGAGGGAATGCACCCGAAATTACAACATTTTAGCAATGAGGAAATGTGTCATATATTTGCGAAGCAAATCAATGCTCTGGCATTGTTAAACGCAATGATCAAGTTTATCTTTATCCTTTTGTATATATTAAAGGTTTATGAAATCATTCCATTTTGCTATTAATGGCTGCTCTGAGAATTTTGGAAGGTCAGCTATCTGGAATTCTCTTTTCATATGCTTTTCCTTAATGGGTCCGGTGCCTGTTGGTTACATCTCGAGGCTATTTGACTGCTCACTGATGAATATACGCAGAGGCGAATCAAGAATCTTAAGCAATATCTGTGGAGTATCACTACATCTATAATTCCTTTGCAGATATAGCTGTCAGTCTAACATAAGTATGTACGTTTTTTAGAATTGTTTTAATATACGTGTGTTTGCATACAATTTTCAAGCTGAAGCCAACGAGTTTGGAGTGCGGACTTTCCCAAACAGCTGCAACACCCATGTCGGATCTTTCAAAAATCACTACTGTTGGAGAATCCAACACGCCCCCACCGGCATTTTAGGAGAATCCGAGCAACATAACTGCTGATAGGCTGCTTGAATATCGTTAAAGTGCTCAAAATGCTAGCACCAGCATGAGCCTGCAAGTGCAAGTGGTTGGTTGCATGTACAAGTTATTATGATTTGTAATTCCTACCTTTTCAGCATTTTCAAAGGGTGTCAGGTTCATTCTACTAGGTAACACTAAAAACTCGTGTAGTTTTATGGCTAGAAGTAGACTCTTACGAATTTTCTCTCCTCTCAACTTTTCAAGGAAATCGAATTGACAACTTATAATCAATCTATTCAAATGGTACACGTGTCATTGATTTTAAAGGAGGGTCAATTTTGTGTATGATACCTGCAATGAGTTTCAGATGGATATTTTCTTTGTTATCTTAGGTCCTGTATCAAGTATGACCTCCTTCTTCTTCTTCTTTTGGGCAGAAATGTATACTTTTTTCTTTCATTTTTTTTTTGTGCGAGTAGTTGCACTTTTGGTGAATTTGATTTTTGTTTTTATGGTACGTGTACTTTCGATCCCTTTAAATAGATAGGATGTATGCTATATGTTGATTACTATTGTTACCCCTAAAAATATGAAATGAAAGCATAAACTAGTATTTTATAGTCAGTCATGTGGTTTAGCCACTAATAAGAATCAATCAAATTCAACTCACCTGACTTCACAAATGGAAGGTTATAAGCTTAATTGACTGAAGGTTAAATTTAATAGATATCACAATTCCAGAATTGAAATTTGTCAGTAACTTAGGGACTATAAGCGCAATATTCCTTTTATTATAGTATGTTTCAGAATTGAATAATGCATTTTGAATTGTTGGTTTGAAATTGTAATTATCATTGTCAAGAAAACGAAATGAGGAAAAAAGCAATGGACAAGTAGAAGACCAACATCAAAATATCACATATTTTCACCTGTCCCAAAGTCTTTTGAGGTCTAAATTAATTGCTTGTCCAATGCAAGTTCCATATTTCAAGATTGGCCTAATAGCACCTTTTGAGAGACAACAGTCACATAACGTAAACCAACTTCTAGTTCATCTCGTGTTTCTAAGTATTCACTACTTTAACTAGGGATAGGGATGGACCACCCCCTTTTATAATATTCTAATGTTTATTTTTATTTTTAAATAGGACAAGGTAAAAACGAAAACAGTCCTCGAAATGCGACATTTGATCTAGCTGTTGGAATCATGCGGTTAGATTAGGTGTGAATAATGTTGAGAGAAATGGAATCTGATCATATGAGTTTGAGACAGCCAGGGAAGTGTCTGTTCCTTGCTGTCTTTCAACACCTTAATTTTTTTAATTTTTTTTTTTTGCAAAATCACCTTTCTTTGCCGTCGAAGGAAGTCTTGGAGCAACAATAAAGTTGTATTCGTGCGATTTATAAATCACAGGTTCGAATCATGAAAACATTCATTAATACTTGCATTAGGTTAAGCTGTCTATATGACACCCCTTGGGGAACAACCCTTCCATCATAATGCCTTTTTTTCCCACCTTTGTTTGCAATTCTAGCATCAAACCAAAGGTAATATTAACTTAACATTCAATTATAAAAGGGCATAATTAAGCATCTTTAGCAAGGTGAAGTGCTATGATAGAGAACAAACCTCTCTACAAGAGCATTATTTGTTCCGAAATTTTTTTGTTGCTACGGTGAAGTGTTATGATAGAGAAGATATATTATAGCATAACATAAAAAATTGATTCTAATAAAAACTCGATCGTTATAATGAAGTGCTCTGATCGTACTATATCTACCTTTTGTGTCAAGACCAAATAAGTTTGGGACGAGACTATTATATTTGTCAACTTGCTGTTTTGTTTTGATATATGGGTGATGGCCACATTTAGAATAGGGTCACATTCATAATCATGAAGTTAATTCCAAATGACAACCCTATAGTTAAGAGTCACATCTTCATTTGAGATGATACTAAAGCTTAGGCAAATACCAAACAAAAGGACCTCCTCCTTTCTCCTTCATCTATGCATGTTCTTCCTTTTTATTGAAATTGAAGTTTGTGAATCATTTCTAGAGGTATAAAAGTTACAAATGAAAAAGTCAAATAAGAAAATAATAAAATTGAAAAACAGTAACAGAAAAAGGAAATAAAAGAAATATTAGGTAGCTAGGAATGGTTAGAAGATAAGGTGTAACAAGAAGATACAAAAGAGCTCGTGGATCAAAGACCACAATTCTTTACACACTACAAGTGTTCAAATACTCAAACATTTTAATATAAGTTTCAAGTATTCAGGATCAAGAACGAAATGAAACCAAATATAAGGCATTCGTAATGAATAGATCAAATTCAAATCAAGCTCTAAGACGTTTAAATTTATCTTAGAAAAAAATAATTTGAGAAATTATTGATTGTTGAGATTCAAACTCGTGAAATTATAATTTAAATTAAAAGTCTTGACTATTAGGACAAAATGTATGAATCAAACAGGTAAATTTTTGAACAATTTAAAATTTAAAAATATAGCGCTCAAAACTTGTAACTGATAAAAAAACTTTTTCGTTTCTAATTATTCCCTTATTCTAATGCCAAATCAGACAACGAAAGAAATTTTTTGCCATTTTCTCTTCTTTACTACGCCTATATGCTATATTTTCTTGTTTGAATCTTATCCATGCTTGTTATAAATGACAAATTGGGAGCCCTAAAATAAAGAAACCTGACAATGGTCAAATTTCGTTAACAGGGGTAGAAAGGTTGTCAGACTGAAAAACTAATTACTTAATTAATTAATTTTGTCAGTCGAAGATTTAATAATACTACTAGTATTAATCCGTTTCATTTTGGCCAATCATTTGGGATTAGCAGTTCAAGAAAAAGGCACCATTAAAGCTCTAAACCTAAAGTCATTAAAGCTGACAAGCTTAATATAGATGATTTTAGGTCCATTCAACACTTTTATACTATACTTTTTTATTATTGTTGTTGTTATTAATGTACGGAACAATTTGCTTCACCAACTTAAAATCACTAAAACCTAAAAATCTAGATTTTATTATCTGGTCCACTAAATTATTTGGTGAAAAATAATACTCCTATATAGGGTTGTGCATTATTTGGGATAACCCGAAAATCCATACCGATCCGTGTTATTCGGATTAACTTAGATTGGATTTTAGCTCTTTGGATCAGATTTCGGGTCTTTAATTTATTATTTTGGATATCAGATCGGACGCGGTTTGGCTCAATTTACATCCAAACTCATCCGGAACCCGAAATTTATATTTTACATATAAAAGTGAGGGGTGATCTTAAAAATTCTGAGGTTTGTTTGTTATTTCTCTCACTGTTTTTGCATTTTCTTTCCTTTCAATTTAGTAGTTCTCTTCTACCGGAAAATATAAGTGCGCTTTCAGATTTAACTTTTTTTTTTTACCAAAATTCTGGAAAAGAAGAAAAGAGAAAAGCTTAATTTTGAAATTATGTTTCTAAAATATTATTTAATTTTTAATTTATCACACCGATTAATATTTATTACTTAAGAGAATAGAGTTTTAAATGGAAAAAAGAAAATTGCTCAACTCTTTTTAAGAGGTGAAATCACAAAATAGAAAATCTATATTATTATAAAAGCATGAATACAATGTTGGTTTACAAAAATATCCTTATAATATTAAGCATAATAACTTATAGTAAAAGGATATAACCAAAATTCTAGATATTAGCTTTGTAATCCTATTAGTTTTAGGATATAATACTACACGTTAGAAATCTTTCGTGATGAATCCCACAATCTCACCTAACCTATGAGCATTAAGTTGGCACAATTAAAAAAATTTAGTAGTTTCACGCCAAATATTTCAAAGAATAATATTCTATAATTTCGGACTTCACAAATATAGTTAGAATATAAAAATTAAATTGATGTATATGCATTAGTTTATTTCTTAAGCATTTAAAACATGAAAACAAAAACACGTCAAAGAAAAGTGCTCTAATTTGATCGAGATATATATACATATATAGGACATATCTCTTATTCGGGTAATTTGAAGTTCCTATTACTAATTTAATTTGAAAAATTATTATAATGTCCCATTACTTATATAATTTGATAATGTATTATTTTGTTCAAATTTATATAAAAAAAGTGTCTATATCTATCTATATCTTTTATATATTATTATAAAAGCACGAATATAATATTGATTAACCAAAATAGCCATAAAATATTAAACAGAAGTACACATAGGGAAAGGACATAACTGCAATAGCCTATTTTTTGGATTACAATACCTTATATGTTAATTTTTTTAATATTTAAGATTTGAAAATTAGTAAAATTTTGTCTATTACATTCTTATTAAAAATATTTAGGAAAGTTTAATAAAATCAATTTCATAAGGATCTCCGTATTGGCAACACACTCCCACTTCATAATTTCCAATACCAAAAAAAGATAAAAGTAATGTTAAATTGATTGCATAAAACGTTGAAATTGAGAAAAATAAATTCCCACAATATATTTTTATATTATATTTGAACTATTTTCCTAGTCAAATAATATTTTTTCTTATCAATTTTCGTGTAATATTGAAAAATATACTAGTTAACAACAATTGAGAAATATTTAAGAATATTTAAGAAAGATAAAAAAATGATTCGTAAGAGTCAATAGCAGTAATGATTCTGCAAATATAAAGATCTAAGAGTGAAATGTTAGATCGATCTTTTTACTTTTTGAAAATAAAATTTATGATGGATAAAATTATAATTAAGATTAAATATTCAAAAGAAGAGATGAACTAATATTAAGAATCTAATTAACATAAAATAAATTATTTCTTATGTTAAGACCAAATAATTAAATCTTTCAATTAATTATTTAACAAGAGAATCCAATTCAATTATTTTTAAATTCATCATACGAGTAAAATTATTTTTCAAGTTAAAAAAAATCTTAGGGTACATAAATTTATTCCATAAAAAGAGCGTTAGAGATTAAAAAAACTAGATCACAAAGTAAAAAAGGTTAGCATAGTATTAAGAATCAAATTATCATACAAGTATCTAGGGAAGCACAATCAAAGCTAAATCTTAAACAAGAACAAGCTTTCAAGACTATATTATAAAGAGTCGACTCTGGTATAGGGGGATTATCCTTTGTAGATGCCTCCGACAGAATCAAAATAATTTTTCTATGTCGTCTATTACTTGCAAATATCATACCAACATGCATGATACTGTTAGCAATAATAACAAGTGTTGTACCAATAAGGAGTATGAGGTCACTCACTTTAGATTTGATATATCTCTTCAAACAACTGAAATAAGCATCACAAATATAACA